CGACGCTGCCTTCCAGGTCTGATGGCAATCCTGCAATGATTCACTTCCCACCTGTGATGACGCCTTCTCGCTCGCTTGTTCCCTACCCGCAACTGTGAACAAAAGGGCACCCAGCCTCAACAACCTCCGAGATGCACACACAAAGATGCCAAATGTTACGATCGGATGTAAAAATCTCTTTCAGTTTCATTATATGCACCCGTCTTAGACGTTGGCAGCAAACTTCCTTTCCAAGGAACCTTTGTTCCGGGCTTCACTCTAGCAGTGACACTAATGAGTCTTTAAAGTTAAAATGCATGCCGAGACTATGAGATTCTCGCTTCCGTTTATCCGTATTATTGATTCCTTTACCTCCTCATTATCTTAACCTTCACTTTTAGTGACTCTGGCTGTGGAACAAATTTGCCACACAATGTTTTAGCTGCAAATCTTTTGCGATCAGAATGAAACTTTTGCTCCAAAATGTTGCAATTTGTTGGGTATGTGCTCAAACCGAATCGCCATTCACACTTTTGGAGCTCACCAAAATTCGTTGTCTATTGAAGCAATTGTAGCCCTGACGGAAAGTCCGATGGAATAATTTCCTAGCATCACTGTGACACCGGGATACCCAGATAGGGCTCGAAAGTTTGAAATCGTACAAAGAATTCAACTGCCCGTCTCTTTTAACCCATCAGGGACGCGTTGTAGATTTGGAAAATTAAATTCCATTGTCCGAATACTGGTGCCCCTACCGATAAGCGCAACAGCCCAAGGCCGAATCGGCGGTTTTGGACTTCAGTTCACATTGAGCGGCCAGATCGTGACAATCCAGTTATCGTACCAGATCTGCTGTTCTGTTTCATCATTTTTCTCATCAGTTTTCTCATCATGCACCAAGAAGAATGCCCCATTTTGGTTTCTCTTTTTCGGATTTCGCCTGCTACCATCAAATTTTAACGACCAGCTCCTACCTCAGTTTGATATGTTTCCTTAATCATCAGCTATATTCCTGGTAACTGTATCTCCCTACCCATGCCGGTTTAGGCATGGTCAAGCCTAAACGGGATATTGCCCACATTTTTCGCGTGATCCCCAGCGCCCGCAATTCCATCCACTCGCGCCCTAATCTCATGGTTACCGTATGATAATGCCCGGCGGTATGCCAACCACTAGTTGGGGATAAACAATATAATTATTATTACCATTAATATCGGTATATTCGGGCACGTTTGGCTACGATGGAGTTTTTCATACACAATATGCGTCGGACGCAGCACATTTTGATCAGGTTAAATTAATTTTGGGATACTACATTATCGTACAGAATAATGTAATGAAGTTTGCTGGTCCTTGTGACCCAAACTAAAAATCGCGAGAAAAACTCTCCGTGATATTTCACTTTTTATTTCCTTTCTTGTGTGGCCAAACATTTAGCGCGCGTTCACAGAGCGGCAGTAAAATATAATGCATTTGGTGCAGATGCTCCACAACGTTAGTTTTGCTCCTGCTGCAGAAGTATTTTGACCAACCATCTGTTAGAAAAAAATACAGAAATAAGCAAATCACTGAGTTTAAAGGTGGCTGGCTCAAATTTGTGAATATTCACTCTGCAATTGAAGTTTTTGCCTCAGTACCGTAGAGTGGCTTGTGAGACTTAATCGACCTTGCTGATTGCCGCTGTGTTGAGTTCTATTCGTGACACCCCATCCTTGGCACACACATGCAAAGAAGCACTAAATGGTAATAAAACCAGCGGAAAACTCTGAGTGTTCACAGAAGCTGCAACTTGGGGGTCCGAATTGTAAATACACCATGTTCAAGCTCCGGATGAGGCACTTATATTGATGCAAATCAAATTCATCGATTCTTTGGACAAGTGAGGCTTACACACTGGAGCTGTGATGTTTGCTCAGTCACTAAATCCAATCTACATGTCTCATTGAAGTCATGGCGACGGCCGTAAACAGCCGTTTCTACTGAACCATTCAAAGGATTACAAAACCCGATTTGTCTGAAAAGCTGGGATTTGGCGGAATGTAAAAGCAATTGCCTCGTGTAACCTGAAGGTTTTTAAGTGCCATAAAAAACACAAGACTCCTTCGGATAACATTTTGAAGTCAGTTACCTATGCCGACGATGGTTTGGCCGCACAGCACTTAAATAAAAACACCAATAATAGGTGACCAAGCCCCGGCGTAAAATGCTGTTTGGCGTTGACAGCTTTAGAGTTCACTTTTAGATATGTATGTTTCAGGGCAACGTCTTAGCGATCGGCTTTCTTCATCGGGAGTGAGTGACCCTGCTTCAGTAGATTATTCTGATTCCAATCTGAAGTTATTCGTTCCAGATAGTTCCAGGCTCTCGGGTAAGATGTAACCAAAATGTTCAACAGGCAAAGAGAAATGGAATCTGCGGCTGCATTCAACAAGTTGTAAAAAGGTGCATGGTACATTCGGGGAAAGTCATACGAAAATCATGAGGGGTGTGTGAGAAGAAACATAAGCTCTAAAATTGGATTATTTATCGCACAAAATTATGCTTAAGTAGTAAAAGAAGGCATTCGCCATTTTACGGATGATCCGACGCAACTTCTCCCGTATTACTCGCATGAACTTCCAAATACTCTATGGAGCCTACGTCACACTACTCCTGGAGTACGCCAACCAAGTTGTCTAGTCAGGACGCACGAAGGACGTCACCCTCATTGAGCGTGTCCTGCGAACCGCCATGAGAATTGTTCCCGGACTCAAATCCGTGGACTACGAAACGCGTCTCGAGATGCTTGATCTATGTCCCCTGGAGTACCGTCGCCCTGTTTGAACAAAGCTTGCAAATAGGTGTTTCACCGTTGACCCAGCAAACACACGGCTGGGACATAGTAAGAAATTTTTCAAGCTCAGAGCACACACATTCATTAGACAAAATTTTTTCTCGTTTCGGGTAGTAGCTGCGTGGAATGGCCTTCCTCCGACGGCTGTCCACGCTCCTTCTATAACCCAGTTTAAAGCACTATTAGACATTTATTTATGTGAATCCTCACGCTGGCAAGCATACTGCACCGCGCTGAGAACATAAATAGCACTGCTGCACCCCTTTTTAACTTTTGCCTTTCAGGTGAACGACAAGAACAAAACCGACCCGGGAAACTTGGGCAAAAGCCTCGATCCTGTGTATCAATCCGTGAACCCATGAGCAACCCATGCTTTATACAACCACTTGAGTACTTTCGCATGATTTTAGCTGATCTGTGTACCGGACCGGCTGTTTTTTCGAGAGAAACACCGTGTAAAGACTGTCTTTTGAACCGAAGAGCTCCGTATTTTACTACTCCGTTTGTAGACTGGAATATGGAACAAGCCATGAGGATACTTAGACCCTAATTTCCACAAACAGGTATAACATTGCAGTGGAACTATTATGTGGCTTACAGCCCCAACAAAGCAGTGAAAAATACGCTAAAGCTCTCATTACTAAACAGCTAGAGCCCAATCCACCCAGCCGTGTGGGCGTCCGGTCGAGCCTTTGAACAACCTTCTGGTGTCATCAGAACGTCACAAACTGAACAAAATTGTTTTACTACGCAAAATTTCAGTTGCTACAGTACCAACGACGGAGGCGATACAATTTTCTGTCAAGCCACATTCATGGATGCGAATGACTTACATCTAAACATAGATTATGTCGGATCGTGTGGAGTGGTTCTTACGCCAGAGCAAAAAGCAACTCTACAAACATCCCTAACAATCCTTAGACACGAGAATAACTTTACCAATGTTTTGTTCTGGGGAATTATCCGTGGTGTTAGTGGTGACTACTTCATTGCACAAGGGATAGGAAAGGACGCCATAACAGATAGAAAGACCCTTTACAGGTAGTTCTGCTGATCAGTAGAATAAAAACCCGTGTAGTAAAGACTGTTTAGTTTGGGGCCTTCTTCCCGTCCCTGGCAAATCTGATATCGAAAAGAGTAAATATTTCAAAGGGAGATTCACAGGCGATCCTTCTTATGAGTGTGAGTTTGTCGATATCAGACAAAGACCCGGCGAAGAAGGCGATGAAATTGAGGAAAGAGAAAATCTAGTATGCATTTTAGTCAGAAAATATCTTCATTCTCAGATCACAATGAAGGAAGAAGACCGACTTGCAGCTACTATAGAACGCATTGAACGTGATGTAAGTATCATTCCCCGGGGTGCTTACATGCGGTTATCCTCTGGACAAGTTATCAGAAACAAAAACTTTGAAGGTATGCGAACCGAAATTGAGATTTCAACTTCCCATTAAGGACTAACCGTAGCGGAAGCAGCCAAATTGCTATCATACTTCCACTTCCGTCCACCTATACAACTTCCACACAAGCCATTGCTGGACAGAGCACGTTTGGACAAAGCCATCGATTTCTTAGATACAATCGAGGATGACAACCCCAAAGGTTAGTTAAATGGTATTTCATAGACTACAACAGCGCAGAGCATTCTAACAAGCCCATCTGGATAATGTAACTAATCGCACTGGCTATCCTTCTTTCCAGAAAAACAACCGGAGACGAATTGCACAATGTGATAACTATCATAAAATGATTTAAGTTATCTTTAGACAGTATGATGCCTGTTGAATGAAAACAGGCTCACAAAAAAACGTTCGTAATTTTTAAAACCACAGTTGGCAACAGCTAAAAACGCTAAATCAATGGAGAAAAACGTAACCAGGCGTAAAACCTGGGCAGAACTCTCAAAATCTAGTCAGATTGTAACGTAAAATTCAAATCGAGTGGATATCCATTCTTTGGGTAACTGGTTTTCCCACTATTCTGGATCCAAATATGTGGGTGGTGCTCTCTGACTGCTGAACACTTCGGATTAATGCCACCTGAATTGAGGTTTTACTCAGAATAAAGCGATAAAAATCGAAGGACTGAGTACAAAAACCTGCCAGCTACGGGTAATGGTTTCTGTGGCGCTCTACATCGATTGATACATCGCCGTAGTCAATTATGATGTGAACGCGCAGGTAGAGCAACTGAATCCTGCTGATGCCCAGACGGATGGCTATCTCGTATCGGACAAAGGATGCAGAGACAATGTGGTGTGACTAATACAGGAGTGTGGTGCTCACAGAGTCCCTCCGCAGAAAATATCTCAATAACGGTGGAAGTCGTTTGAGAGTCTTGTCAGTGAACTAGGACCGAAGTCAACTAGACCACGCTAATATCAGTTGCCAGTGGTAGTGCCCGCTACTCCCTCTCATATACGTAGGTGGACGCCGGTCACACACCAGTAAGTCGCAACTTCTCATTTTCCCGTGGGCCACTCAAAAGGTAACGAAAATAGATCAAACACATGTACTGAAGCCGACCCTTCCAACGCTTGTCTTGTGGTCAGATTCCATACGATCGAATTCATGCAAGGGAGCGAAAGCTCTTTGTGATGCTAGGACTTGTAGCTGCAGTATAAATCAGCCGGGTTGTATCAAAAACTAGGTTCCTGGTCAGGTTGTGGATATCCTGGAGACCCAAAGACAACTTTTCTGGTTGCAACAACATTCAATCTCGACGTACAGTTGTGCGCTGTGTGAAACGAAATCGATATGTAGCTTGGAAAGCTTGACCAATTCATATGAAAAATGCCACAATCCATCGCAAGCTGCTTCACTCAACTCGTCACACAGGCCCTCGGAAACCCACTGTAAGCAAAACCGTAAAGAGCAACAAAGATGCTCTGCAATACAGCAAATTTTGGCTGAAAAATTATTTAAAAAATTTCATTTCCCATCGGCTATTTTAAGTCCAGGCTGTCGGTCTTTATTGGAAATAACTATGCACTCTCCATCAGATCCAACGTATTAGTGTTAACAGTTCCTCGAGTTTCTGTTACCAGATGACTTCGGATTTCTCGGTGCCTTTACCACTTATTTACGCCCACCCCGGTGAAATCAAACACGATAACTAGAATGAGTCGAAAATAGTGGCTTTGTTCCAAAAGGACACTCAGACTGAATGCAGTAATCAGTACTTCCAGTTCGGCACATATCATAACAAGCTTTTCAGTCAGCAGCCGAAACCCAAACCCATGAGAATCAATAAGATTCCGACAAGGTTGATGCTGCGTCGACCAGATCGTAACACTCCACCATACGTTCAGACGACTTCAGTCATGATGTTCACTGACTTCAAGAGCGCCTTCGATTCAGTTGATCGGTCAATGTTTATAAACAGGCTTCCTAATTAGGAGATATTCCAAAACTTTAAGAACAATATACGGTCCTACCGGACGCTTGAGTAGATGGAGTTCCGTACAATGGGTTTCATACAAAGACCAGTGATCGGCAATAATGTTTCTCCCCCCGTTTTTGTCCTGCGCTGCCGTCGATTAGCTAACGAGTCAAGCTCTTGGAGGTCAGCAAAATCCCGGTGGTCCAACCATTGCTGGCGAAATTCCTGTCCATCCGGACTACGCGGACGTCATAATCTTGAGGAACGCTAATCAATTTTGAATAAACTGAACAAAAGTATACAATCAGTCGGCATACGCCCCGTACCTATGGTGAAAATTCATGCATTAAGACGTGTAGTCCTGAACATACCTTGAGATTCAAGAAGAAGCACTAAAGGTAGTTGTATGAGCCCAGAAGGAATGGCTTGGTGATATCAGTGTACGAATTCCAAAGGTCCAAAATGCATTATTCAAATGCTGCCGTTTGTGGGCTCAAAACGAAGCGACTGCCTGTCACGAGGAGAGTGGAGCTTACTATAATGTGACGGTCTAAATACTGCCATAGCCAACTGAGACATACCTAAGTTGCACGCGTGAAACTCATAGATTCTCTAATTCCAGGTTGGTGAGTAGAGGTCTGATAAACGTAGTCTCTCCTGGTCTTTATTCCTGGAGACTGGAAGATCTGTGGCGACGTGCTCTTTGGAAATGTGGGGTTATTCGGTAGTCTTCCGCTAACTGCTGTTACCTCGTGGTTACTTTTGTGAGTCCAAAGCTCTGGTTGAAGACCCTAATAGTATTGCACTCTAGGTTCAGGCACCGTCAAAGTACTTCAGCCAACGTACAACTATGGAATGCACATTGACAAATATTCGTCCGGTGCGAGATGTGCTGCCTTCAACAAGGTCGCCTTACTGCATAAAGCAGTTGGCAGGTGGCAACAAAACACTACTGACGCTTCGCTTCTTTATCCCACACATATCTGTTCTTCTCCCCTCAAGCAGCTTCCAGCTATATCTCTGGAGGCCCATTCTTAAAAACTGCCAGACCCGTACACCGCCAGCCTCCGCTAGCTGCAACAGCAGTCATAAGCGTTCTTCAAACCCGATGTTCAGTTCACATGACAGACATTGACGCCCGTAATCCGAAACAATCCGGAAAACAGAATTCCCACACATATATGATACTCGATTTCTATTGATGCCTGCTGATTTTCGGAAACGGTGATTCACAACCCAAGTACGGTTGTTGGATGATCGTCAAATAAGTTTTCTCTTGCTTCTGTTTGCGCATCTCTGGCGATCAGAAGCGGCTGAGGCTATCTCTGCTGGAGTAAATATTGTTCTAAGTCACTGGGTTTATTGGTTGTTCGTCAATAGCCACCTCCGTGCGGTTCGTCTGTAAGTGACCCGTAATCGGGACGCCGAGAACATGCCAATAACCGGTGACTTTTCACTGTATCTGCTTATTCCACAAAACGTTTTAGCCCCGATACACTCAAAGGCAATTTTTACGACTCAAGAAGATGAGTGAAGACAGGACCCCAGAACAGCAAACAGGACCAGAGCCAGGAAGGAGCTGTTTGAACCATATGTTCACCATTTGTCAACAGCTGGAGTTAAGGCATTTTTGAAAAGGGCAGAAAGGAGCGCACACAATGCTAGTGAAGTTGTTTAGTATGTGGGAAGTATACTGTTTGAGAATACCCCTAAGAATTCCAGGAATGGTAGTGAAAATTACGGAACACTTTACGTATCTACAGATACGACAGTGGTATAAACGCACGAGTCGCAAAGGTCATAATTACTTTTAACAATTTGCTCTATTGGAGGATCCAAAGGGCATATCACTGGATCACAAAGAATGAGTGTATCATATCGAGCAAGCTCCAATGTTGTGCGGCTGCGAAAATTGGCCAATTAAGCCGGGGGATTTGAGATAACTTCAGGTCATTGAACAACGATATACCAGAGCTGAAGCTAGTCTCCTGAAACCAGGGAAGTTGGGATGAGCAGACCAATAAACGGTCATTTTGGTGAACCACTCGGTACCGCACCCGAAGAATGCATTCAACAATGGAAAGTAATTAGAAATTTTAATTCTAATTTACCAGATGTAAACCGTGCACCATAGGCACATTGGTCCTAGATGTTGCAGTTTCGGCAACCAGAAAGTGGGAGCTTGGGATATAGGGCCAAGCCATGGAGGCGGTGACATGTCCAGTTGGTTCGCGAAATGGGCAGCTACGAATTTGGGCACCAGGGCCAGTGAGTCCACGACTGCCGCCAGTGTCATCAACGATTGGTGACTTGAGTCCCGTGGTCCCCATCCATGAAGGCGACAGCTATCGACCAGCCTGAGTTTACTGGTACATCATCGACCACATGACATCGGTGTTCAACACGGATGCTTCAGTGCCGTACAACCATGATTTATTTGAAAGCCATATTGTAAAGGGAATTAATGCTAGCTTACTACAATCATCCCGAGGTGCAATGGTTCTGAGACAACGATTGTCGAACACCTGAAGACGTCTCAGTTCCGCTGCTTGAACAGGCCAAGTCTCACAGCCATACAACAAAACAGCCCGCATTGTACGTTGATGCATACGTTCCTTGAGATGCAGGGATAAACCACCCTGACGCCATAGGTGTCCCGAATTAGCAAACGCGACCCAATGTTGAAAGATTCGTGCATTCACCTCATCTGTCACACTACAATCAGAACTAATACAACTTTCAAGATACGTAGAACCCCCCACAGTTTCCACTACCTCTCCATGGATTGTAAGTGGCATGTTCAGTGACTGCACGTTCACGAGCATGACCTTACAATTTGTGGGTGAAAAGTGCATACCAAAGGACGAGGTGACTTTGGTCAGTTCATCCAAAAACACCTGCACCTTCTCCTACTCTTCGAAGATGAGGACAATGTCGTCTGCGTGCTCCAGATCGACAAGGTTTTTTTCACAGGCTATTTGAACACTAGGGTTTTGGAGACCGTCCAGCGTTCCTCTCATTATCATCATCAAAGTGTGTGGTTTTTAGGGTCGACCTCTTCTATCCCGTCCTTCCTCAGGAGACCAGCACCACTTTTCCCATAAATATGGATATTTTGCCTGAAGGCAGTAAGACTAAATGAATGCAGCACTGAAAGCAACAGGTGAATCAATTAACCAGTTAAAGTGTCAGCGAAGCAATGTGCGAAAAAGACGGAACGAATGTTCACTCGAAGTCGTCTGGAGTGATGAGTTGGACACTTCAACACTACCATTGGATGAACCCAGAGGGCCTGAATGGAACATCGACACCATCCCGCAATCGACAACAGAAATTCTCTTTGAGATATGGACCCTCCAGCACGACAAAGCACCTGGCCCGGGTGGTCGTCACTCCACACTCTTAAAATGCGGTGAGGTCTTGGTGAACAGTTCAAGAACCATACTGCCGAAGATTCGGAACGAAAACAGAATACGTCGAATGGAGATCCACAACCGTCATCCTAGTTATCAAGAAGGGTACAAGAGCCTCATGAGAGAAACATCGTGGCATCAGCCTGGTATCTGTCGCATCTAAAGTGCTTCCTCGCGTTGTTTCGCGTAGATTGATCGATTATTGGGAGACAAATTAGTGAAGATCACGCTGCGTTTCGCCATAACCGAGGATCCATCGACTATATCTTCACCTCGTGACAAGTTATTGAACGGCGCCCTAACTTCCAACGTCCCACGTTGGTCATTTTTCTCGGTCTGAAAGCTTCTTTTGAACCTGTCCATCTCCAGGAACTTTGACGGTGCCTGGCGATCGAAAGTCTCCTCCAAGTTTGTATCTTTAATGAGGGCTGTGTACAAACTCCAGCTGGTGCGGACGAGTATACGCCAACTCTTCGCCCAAGTTCACCAAGTTCAATGGTGTAAGACAAGGGTGTCCTCTCCCGTCTTTCCCCATCAACTTTGTTATTTTGCTTGGAATTTCTGTCTGCCTCTCAAACATCGGGGGTCGAAATGTTTCCGGGACGTTCGCTTACAGAAACTGGGTATACGGACGATATTGCTCTCATGGGTTCAGGTCCTTCAAGAGTGCAAACCATTTCAAACAAACTAAATAACTCTGCCGCTCGGTTTGACATGCGTTTCACACCTACAAATTATTAAGTGCTGCTATAAGACTGAGTGAGACCAAACTCATTCCTCATTCTTGCAGACAAGCCAATCGAGGCGGCAGATAAATTCGCTTATCTAAGCACTTTATAAGTTACGGTGGACTGGCTAGAGAGGAGAGTACTTCTCGAATCAGGAAGGCCAGGACACTTTTTGTTAACCTCCGACACTTCTGTTGCCAACATGACGTCAGTTTGTCTGTCAAGGGCAGAGTTTAAACTGCGACAGAGCGATTCTTGCTGATTTATGGGTCAGAGACTTGGCCTCTGTGCGAAAAGGACATACGAAAGATGTCGGTGTTTGACCATCAGTGTCTTCGAAACATTCGTTAGGTCTGGTGGGAACGTCATATTAGCAATAATGAGGCACGCCAGATGGTGTTGAGAAGAAACCTTACCATAATAGAGGAACTACTCACGCCCCACAAATTACGCTGGTTACGACATGCATTTTGCATAACAGAAGACCAGAGCTCTTTTCGCCCAGTCACGCGCTGAATGGAACCGAACGAGAGGTGTACATTGTACGACCTGGCAACGAAGTGTGAAGATACTAACCAGTAAACTCAGGATGGATGGCGCCTCCATGGATGGAACTCAGCACACCAATTGAGAAAAACGCATACCCACTGGCTCTCGTACATCAAAATTATCGTCTTCAATTCTTAGCTGCCCGTTTATCGAACCAACTGAACATTTCACTGCCTCCAAGGCTTGACTGTATGTTCGACACTCCCATTTTCTGTTCATCACCAACAGCATGACAGTGTTCAACACCGAAACTGTAGCACCTGGAACCAATGTGCCCATGGTACACGGTTTATCCCATTACTTTCCATTGTTGAATGTATTCTTCGGGTGTGGTACCATGTATAATGTAGGTGACAACACAGCCGATTTCACTTAGCAGCACTCCAGCCATCGTTCCCTTGTGATTCGTACTTCGTAAATAGTTCGAGTGGGAAACTGATCTCTGGAACAAGTCAGCGCGATAGCCAGCAAAGTGCTACTGTGGGCGAGTTGCTCCTCACCACAACAATCTAACATGCCCAACCGGATCCAAGCGCTGTTCCGGACATGAATGGTCAAAGCTTTAAATTCGTCGTGCACACTTGAAGCAATTCCAGCCCAGAGAACATCATGAATCAAGGAACGGCTATGCATCCTCGACAGATAATCTATCAAGCCGGATCGTAAGGACTAATTACTTGAAAAATGACTTTCCTTTAACCAGATCGTACGAACTTGTCAAGTTTAGAGTTTTTAATTTAGATTAATGTGAACATGTGTGCAGACTGTCGAATTCACTTCGCCTCCACATAGACAACCTTTATGTTCTCACTGACATGGAACGAATCCATCGTGTTTCGAAAGCTTTATTACCAAGACTGAAACAGTGATGAAACGAGTGTCAGACAGGGGACTTTGATGAACGCGAATGACCTCTCAGTGACAATTGACCGGCTTCCTAGGGAGGCTACATTCTGCGGGTTTTGTCCATCCTGTTTATTAGTGAACAGAGCGGTTATCGTGACGAAGTGGACAAATCAGAGTTTCATTAATGCACAACCAAGAGAGTAAGGCAAAACACAGTCAAGCACCCTGCCAACGCATCTACACATCACAAGTTGTTATTCTGATGTACACTGAGAATGCAGTACGGAGTCACCCTTCGTGCAGTGATGATAGTAAATGAGTATGGTCGGTTCTATAAGTATGGTTCCTGGTCTTTTGTGAAAGTCGCATTTGGTTTTGATTCGCACTTCCACCCCAAAACATGTTTCACATATGTATTTTTTATTCCCCATTATAGGATGCTGGTCCATCACTTTGGAAAGAGGGGGTCGCTTGGTCCTGGTGAAGAGTTTACTATGGTTGGGATACGTTCTCTACCATCTCCCAGGAACGAACAAGTATGGGTCCATCTACGTGGGGACGGGTGAATACAATGTGGACCTGCCATTCATGCTTTGATGATAGTCTGCTCGTCAGCTACACCAAGAACCCCAGTACGAGAAGTCACTATGGAACAAATAGGAATCTACGGATAAATATACATGTTTACTCTGGAAATGGTGTGTAATCGCTAAGTTGGATGTGCAGATGGGTGGGGCATTCGGTAGGCAGCCGAAAATGCTCAAAATAAGCGGCTGTCATATCACAGTTGATGAGTTTCCACAGTTTTTATCGTATCACTTATTGTGCTGTCGATCAAGTTTATCCAGGAATGCTTGTCGCTTCATGCGCACTTGTTCAGCTGTCGCAGTTGGCGGATTGGTTGCTGGCGAGGAATGATCTGTGAATAAGAGTGCATAAGATGTACATGTACGTGCCAATACCAAAGAACCTATAAAGAACCTATAGGAGCTGAGCCAGGCTGTCAAAACTCATTCAATGTCTAAACCTTCCAACATAAATTGAAGAGGTGAGTCAGAATTATACTGGCTACCAGTTTAGGGGGATGGAAAGCGGGGACTAAAAGAACCTAAGACCATGCGAAATTAGACAAGGTCATCGAACAGCAAATATCGAGCAAGCAAGATGAAAGAACTAGTTCAAACAGGTAATAACCATTAATTTCCATGGATTTTGATAGAGAATGAAAGAATGATTCGATTTTCAACCAACAAAAACATAAGCACAGACTGACCTCGTGCCACGTGCACGTACAGGAGTTCAACAAGACACCGACTTGTATAATAATTCACAGGAAAGCGGATGGACTACTACACACTGTTTTTGTGTCCTATGGTTAAGGCATCAATAGGCACCATCGGCCGAACACAAAGCGTTAGGCGGTTACTGTTAAGGTTTCTAATGAACTAAATAAAAAATGTCAATGTGGAAGACAGTCTGGCCACAAGCATATATTCAAAGCGCTCAACTGTACACAGGACATCACCACAAGCTCACCAGGTTACTGGGGAGATTTAGACCTACATTACACCTATTTGTCCACCCATTTTACAGTTCAAAAGTGGAATGGACGGAAGCCGGAGTTCACTTTTCAAGTTGGGATATATGGTGCTTTACAGTTTATTTCAATTCCACAAAGGACCTCACCTTAGCAAAACAGTAACCTATCCAAAAAGTAGCTCTATGATCATGTTCAACATTTACCTGCAGTTAAACTGAGTTTGATAGCTTCCTGTAGTTCCTCGTCCTCCGGATTTCGGTAGACCTCCTAATGTATGTGGGATCAAGAAGTAGGAGTATCGAAAATGGCACAATAAGACGACATATAAAGGCATCTGGGTTAGAAAATTTGAGTCCCGGAAATAAATGAATGTATGCGTAAGAGTTGCTCACATTCGCAATATTATAATAAGACGTCAGAGAAGTCCTACACCGTCAGATCAGTTCAGAAAACGAGCTGCACCCAACTTAACCACTTGAGGTCTACACAAACACACACGAAGGGATGGATCGAACTCGTCATCAATAACAACGCGTTGAGCACCGGAGGTTCAATATTGTATTACTAATTCATCAGAGGAAACCTTACTGAAGCAGCTAGAATTTAAGCTACAGGCATTGTGCAGGAGTCAAGCAAAGTGCAAAGTTCTAGCAACACTAGTCACCAAGCTGACCAGATTAGTTCCACTTGTCTGTCTTCGAAAGCCACTCTCAGTAGGTTGGGGCAATGTAGTGAAATGCAGTGCTTCACGCAGTTGCTGGTATCCGGAAGTTCCCTAATCCATGTTTAGTGCAGCAGCAGTTGGGCTTGACGTAAATGCGAGAAGTCCTACACTCGGTACCAAGAACTAGTTATTATTGGGACCCATAAGTAAGGCTGCTGGAGCAAGATATTCATGTACTGGAGCTGATAATGGTGAGAATGAGTGGCGTCCGCACAGCGTTCTTACACTCTTTTTGAGCAAAGACTACATAGTACCATCAGCAATCGTGGTGAAGCCCCTCAGCTAGATAAGTATGTAAGCTACGATCGAATTAAGGATGCCGAAATTAAGATAATGGGGATCGCATTATACATTCCTACTGAACTGAAAGGTGCAGAGCACATTTTATCCTGATCCACAGTTACATTAATTCGTACATTACTAGATAAGCACCCAGGAAAAGAACCAACTTTTGCTTTCATCGCTATAACCAACTGCTTGGAGAAAGCAGCCTTACTCGCTCCAAATACACCTTTATAACGATGGTGTGCGCAGTGAGTGAAGTGGGTTTCAGGAATATATTAACGGTGGTTTATGTTCAGTTCGGGACAAAAACAGTCGGCTCTGAAATGAATCGCAAAAGCAATTGGTGGCATTGTTCGCATACACGAACGGCTGGCTGAATGTGCTCGCTGGTAAAATATTAATGAGACAAACTTCACTGAGCGCTGAAACAGTCATCTCACTTTAGAAGTTCCAACAATGCAGTTAGGGGGTGGAAATGGTGGATTCACATAGTTTGCATTTATTCAATATTAGGGTCGACAACCGAAAAAACGGGTTTTACTCACAAAACAGGGGATTCGGCTACATGAATACGAATTGGTCAGGTCGGCCGGCACAGCATTCACTTAACATAGCTGTAACATAGCAGGTGGAAGCTAGTGACTCCATGTCACCGTGGACATTCCAAATACGCGACGGGTTGATGGATCCCTTAAGCAGTGCCCATAGAAAACCCACGCGACCAAGTCAATAGGCATCTCCGATTTTCTACTGACCTCATTCACCGGAAACTCACGTAATCAGATATTCACTGGAGCAGTTGCATTCGACAAGACCGGCTCAATAAGTATAAAATTGTATTTATGTGGATCAGCATGCCTTCAGCCAGCTAGCGCACATACTATCGCCTCTGTTAGTATCCACTGGCTAGAAGAACACCATAGTTTAACAACTTTTCAGTTCATAATGCTGCTTTCCTCATAGGCTGGTTTGTTTCGCGGTGTCGGGTATCTGAGATGGGTAGTGCGTAGACCTGACTGTAACCAGACAGAAAGCACGCCTCAGGGTATACTCATATGCCGAAAGCATGCAACAAAGTTCTGTGGTACAGCAAATGAACCCAAGAAGGAAAGATGAAATGCCACTCCGAACCGAATCCATTCAGTAGTCAAAAATATGTGTATGTGCTGAGTCAAAATCGAAAGTACGATTTGTCCATTCCTGTAAACTCCGTGATAACTCTCACAAGTGGGCAGTCATGGTGCTGCCAGTTTTCTTGTTTCATATGAAATAGCAATTTTGACTAGATGTTCGAAGTACTTTTCGTTCAAATTTAAAATAGCTCAAAAAATCATAGGAGGGATACCGAATTCCAGAAAAGTTCACATCAACTATTTATTTGTATACTGTGTATTGCTGAACATCTGTGTTACCGTATACCTTCATGGCTGAATAGTCGATGAACGAGTTAAAGTGATGGTAACTTCAATTCATGGACCTCGAAGCAGACAGTTGATAAATAGAATACTTTCATCAAAAACAGAGCTTAGTTAGGATCTGTCAAGGGGCACGTCATCATATTCAATGTGCACTTGCAGATGAAATGCGAAAAAGCAAAATAACCGGGGAAACAAATACCTTGGAGAAAGTTCATTGGTCCCACGGCAGGCAAATACCACCCAAATGTATGGGTGGTACACATTCTGTTTAACTTACCATTTTCGACAGCTCAAGAACTCGTTGCAGTTCCTTTTCTTGTGCTTCTGCTTCGGAGGACTGGAGGATACGTTGCAAAGAAACATTTTCCTCATCCATCTCTGCCTTACATATAGCCATAGCTAACTGCATCTGCTCATCATCTGCGCCGTCAGCGTCCACGTCTGATGATGCAATAGTAATTGTCCGCTCTTGATTGTTGGAATAGTCCTCTGGGACTGGACAAAGCTGATTGATTCATATTGGGAATAGAGGGAAGAAGTTATAACTGCAAATAAAACCTAATAAACTCCAACAATAAATAATGGGTCGCCTCAAGAGCACGGTGATGTGAGTTGACCACTTAAAATTTGAAGGGGGTAGAGGGCGGGGACTAGTAGACAGACGATGTAAATCGAACCCAGATCGGTCAACACTCAGCCTAAATGTCAACGTAAGGGCCAATGTTTCAAACTAATCAATACAACCTAGGACCGATTTCCATCTGGAGGGGCTCAACGAATCCACTCCCTTCAGTCTTTGCAACCAGCTACAGTTGTGCGACTTCATATATGTCAAGTTAAGCTCTAGCAGACTGTTCGACAAAAAAACAGTCACCCGACGCCCCAATATGTCCTCGGTTTGGACTCAAAGTTCTAACCCACCAGCCAAGAAAGACCAGTATATCGCTAAGCATACATATTCATTCAACGTTTTGTCATGTCAGTACTAATTCTCACATTTCTCAATCCAGCATAGTTAAATATAACGTAATAGTTCCTTGCCAGGTGAGACCGCTCGGTAGCTAATCAGATAACCTCTTGTAGGGTGAGCGTGAATCACATCAGGAATCCGCAGTAATACACTCCTCCACCCAAATGGCTCATTACGGGACAAGCCATTCGCTCCCCAAAAGGTTACACGAGGGACAATGCACCTCGAAAAGACATTTAATTATGAGTCCCTCTGGTGCATAGCTGTCTCACAAACCGGAGGAACTGAGTCTAGCTAGTATTCTTAGATGTGTGGCGGGACCGGGGGTCAAACTGCAATGTTATTGTTAGTTGGTCCGTCGCAGCCAGTTACCTAAGTGGAAGCCTACGGATCGATATATGAATATACACAATCGATCTATCAAATATGGTTCAACCCGAAAACCGAATAGTGTGGAAGACGCGCCATTACATATGCAGCAGCATGGACATAATTTCGAGCGAGAACACGAGAGCGGCTGCAAAACAGGTTGTGCTTTCATCCCAATATGATGTGTGAAAAGGGAAAAATCTAGCCGCGGCAGCTGATAAGGTAATGTGGATTAGGAGGCTAGATGCTGTGGACATTGATCATCTCATGGGAGATGTGAAGTGCATACGATACTCTCTGCACCCGGTTAGAGGCGTGGCAAGATATATCTGTCAACCGACATCGAAAGCATTCCTTGTTACCAATTCTGCTCGGATTTCCCGACCCAAAGCTTAGAGGTTTGGGTAACGTGTGTGTTCGCAAACTAAAGCAAGACAACTTCCTCTTTTCATCCATCCTGCATCGGTTAAGTGCCAGTGTTCTCACACTGTCACTGATGGCGACTCTACTTGATGAGAACGAATATTTCTATCGAAATCCGTGTTACAATATTGTCCGAGACAGCTCACAGCTCGAGATAGGGCGAATTACTGCTCTGAAGGTCCACGGTTTGAACCCGAACCCAGAATCCTGATTTTTTTCGTCTAAACTTGGGCAACCTGGCAGTATCTCAACCCTCGTGATTCCTTCGAGGAGTATACAAACCGAAAGTATATCAGTTGAACGATTGTTTAATTGTTGTTTTTTGCTCAGCAATACAAACGACCGAATTAAGCCAACAATATAAAGCAATAGGGTTGTCTCCAGCATTTTTCATACCATAAAAAAGCGAAGACTGGCCAAAAACTTCATGCTCACCGCAATCAGTTGCTCCGCCTCACAATCCGGTAAAGTACCCGTAACGAAGAAGATGGAATGGCCCTCTTGTTGTAGTTGGGCTAAGTAGATGTTTAGATATGTAGTGGAGATCAACCGAGGCTTTGATAAGGTTGAATTCAAGTCAAACCACTGGTTCCCGAAACGGCGAATTGTGAACCAGTGTTTACGGAAATTGCAGATGAAAGCTCGTTGCTGTTCTGGATGTTGCCTGGCGGATTCAGCTTCTGAGCTTTGACGAAGGAACGGCACGAGTTCGAGAGACCAAATGGAAAGGGCTTTGCTGATCACCTACGAGTGTGGGGAATTTTCAATTACTAACAATGTATATCGTTTATTATCTTATCCCAGTTAGTGATTAACAATAAGATCGTAAGCTGCCAAGCTCTCAAATGATCAACATACCTTTGATAAAACACTAGACTGAACAATCAACACTCATTTGTGATGACGCATAAGTAGCGTGCCTCAGTACTGGTAATGGGTACATATAATGGTGAGTAAAGAGCTTCAATAAAGCGTGATATCGGGTGGCATGAAGTACCGAAAGCTACAGAGGTATGTACTCGAAAAGGTAAGCACAAGTGTCTGTTTGGATACCACAAGTAAGATGACTTGGACATAAGGTCATATTCAACAAGTATTGGGAGCATTTTAACAGGCGATAATCGTCCAGCCCGTAATGAAGTAGCGAGTTTTTTACAGCACGTATACGCTTACTCTACTCGAGGTCTCCAGAACTGCAGTCAAGATAACAATGGCATTCACACTGTGAGTTCCTATTCTGATTGTGTGAATGAAAGTCTGGAAGTTCATGTGGTCGGTTAATATCAGGTGCTTCGATGTCCATATTTTCATCGGCCTGGGATTTTGAAATAGACCTGTGATTTTACGGCAGTCGCGTACAGTCAATTACAGCCTGGCTCATGAGTTACGGATGACAAGGCAACTTAGCACGACAGACCATCACGGAGGTACATGTTCGACTCAGGAGCAGGTTCACTACTGGTTGTTGCAGGGTCGGTTGAACCAAGCATCTTTTTGGTATCGATTACCCATACTGGCTTTTCTGGTGGACATTTCGTTCTATAAGTGAAGCCTGTCTGAAAAGACAAGAAGCACTGTACAGCTGTTTCATCCTCATTAGGAATCATCAACAGTACGCATATCTTGAAACTCCTGACAGTCTTGAACTCGCGACCTCCCTGACAGTATTTTGAACACTTAAACGTTCGGCTAAGAACGGCACTTAGACAGGATATAGAGCCGCTCATCCTTCTGTCACAGGATCCACAGTACGTGGTCACCCGTGCTAGCTGTATCCCCTAGCAGTGACTACTCAGATAGAAGTTCACCTCATCAGCTGAATTTTATTCTTCGCCACAAGTTTCCAAATCTCCTCATATCAACAATATGCAAGTAGATCAGAGGAAGCATAAAAATGCATCCGATGAGTGCACCTCCATCTGAGAAGTCATTGCTAGAGGATCCGACCCACGTGATGTGAACACGTGATGCGGACCTCGTGACTGAAAGATGAGTGCCGCTATATTACACTGTGGATCGGCCGCTCATTAAGAAACGCCTAAGAGTGAAAACTTTTAGCCGGGAGGTCGCGGGTTTGACGCTCTTTGGTTTCGTTAGACACACGCTGTTGATGATTCCCAATAAGGATGAAACAGCTGTACACTGGTTCTTGGCCTTTGAGCATAGACTAGTTTTACTTAGAGGACGAAATCTCCACCAAAATTCCCAAACCTTCTCAAGCTACTAAGAGGCTTTTATTCTCACTCAATGAAAAAACCTATGGAGGCCGGAAATACCAAGAGAAAATAGGGCTTGCCCACGAATGTGGGACACGTATCCAAACAGATGCTATCAAATTGTTTGGTTTCAACTTGAACGAAGCGTGACGATCCAATGCACATAAAAATTCTATCGAAGTTTGTGACGCTACTCATGACAATGCAGAAATGACCGGTTAGTATATAATAGTGAGAATTCCAATGACGAGTTAGTGAAGTGCCCGTGAATGAGTGAGTCAGTATTACACTGTAATACAATGGCATTTGAGTCGCGGTGAGACTGGTAGTGACCTAATTACAAAAAACCGGTCATCATTGTTGGACTGAGAATAAGTTCACCTACCGTCGTTACTGCCCGTTAGTGTCAAGTACTCAGGGGGGAGTTTTAGTTAATATGCCTCTAAAATACTAAGGAGGTGATCACATTGGTTGGCAGTGGTTTCCTCGAGAGGTAATATAGACCCAGGAAACAGTATCTACACATTCAATCGGGATCATCTACAAAGCAAACGTCGGACGAGAGATCCTCGAAACCTCAGGTTTATAAAACACGAAGATGAGCTTGTGATTTGAGCAAAATCCTAAACAATACGTAACAACTTACCTGGATGGAAAAATAACCAGCTTCATCCATGTTATTAGATACATGTGAAGAGTTGCAACCGTGCTCTAGGGCACTCCGTTCATCCTCGTCCAGCTGAGCAGCTAATTCAGCCAAATCCACAGCAGTGAAGAAAGGGCCCTGGAGTAATGCGTTTAAGCAGTGTTGAGCGCACAGTGACCCTTCTTGCTAAAATACAACATAAAAACGGGCACGGTCTCAAGAACTTACTTTTTCGTGGAATATGGAATCCATATATCTTCCAGTTGTGAAGTGCGGCGAACTCTAGTTGGTGCTTGTTTAACATTCAGTTGGAAAACATCTGCAGCAGAAAAAGGGAGACTATTCGTCGGTGTGTTTCGGCTGGTCAGTTGCTTCAATGCTGCACCAATGAAACCAAACCCCTGTCCTATTCCATTGAGCACTAGTGCACAAAATGTGGCCCCTAAAGATTTTACGACCCACAGTATAATCAAGGATAAAGAAGCCGGCGTCCGATGAAACCATCGAATTCTGGGACTACCAGGCACTCCAAGTCATTACCCTACCACCGGAGATAAAATGTGCCACTTGCCGACACTGTTGAACGGGCTAGGGGAGAGGACGACTGTTATTGGCGGCCTGCCGAGTAGAGCTAACGTACATCCTTGAATAACATGCATCCCATGAAAAGAACATGTGAACGATAAAAGCAAACACATCGCACAGAAGACAAGCAAAATTCATGTGAACTATAACCCGGTATGAAATTACGGACGGTCACGTGCGTAAAACTAGCTCATAACAGGAGAAGAACAGTTAAAGGAAGGATGGAGACTTCAAGGATATTCAAGGCCTAGAAGACACCAGTGAGAGACTGAAACTATATTTTCACCACACAGTCATGAGTAAAAGCACCACAAACATGGAAGACAGAATTCTCAATCCCCCACACAGTGGTTTCCAAGTTCCCGCGTAAAACCCGCATACCAAAGTGGTTTCCACCGTGTGCTTTAGCAAACGTACGCGGAAGAGGATAACAGAGGCATAAACGGACGACAATGACGGCAACTTCCAACAAACCGATGTAAGTTAATCCGAGTTTCCGATGCTTGATTGAAAGGAAAAAGCTTTGACGGCGATGATTTTAACACAGGAAGCCCACCGACTGCGTGTTGGGTCACATTCTGGTAGTAGTATTATTAACCAGGGTTATCAAGCGGGAAATCGACGAAAACCGGACTTTTATGCATCCAAACCACATAGCTAGTTGATCGCCTTCATTTGATCAAAGGACTACGAGACTCTGGCTACACCAAGCCCAACTAAACACAAATAGAGACCAGTTCATCGATTTTTAGCGAACTCCTTAACCTAAAAACAATCTGACATATTTAAGCACTACGGACGCAATGTTCCTCCCGGAATGGAGAAAAGTTCCGTGAAATCGGTGAAAAAACAGTGAGGGTTTCCTGTATTTTTTCTCAAAAGAATGCAACCTAGCGTTGCATATTGCAACCGTAACAGATAATGTAACCCCGGTACCGTAGGCGGACTTCGCCTCCCCAAATTCAAAAGCCCAAATATTAATATCGACATAATAAAAGATCGTTTATCAGGCGAAACGAATCGTAGTCCATCTGAAGTAGCTTATTTTCAAAGGATTCGGTACGAGAATGCATGTCAGTGTACAAGCATACTTCCAAGGAACACTTCCGTCCCAGAGGTGAGAGCAGCACACAAGTTCCTAGCACCAACAACACCCGCGGCGTCATCAGCAGGGTCGCTCTACTTGCTGAGAACACCAGAGCGGGTGAGCGGAAGCACACTACAACTGACGAATTTATACTTAAACTTCCACTCAACCGAAACCCAATGGAAATTATCCCTTTGCGGGTCTCAGGACTAGGACCGACCGTCTTATTCGCCATGCCTCACACTCAGTTACAGTTTATGTGCACCTGAATATACTAACGACCTTAAACATCTCGAACACAACTTCCAAATCCAGTAAGCTTCTCTAATTGGTTGCGTTTAATGTTTGCCTACTGAAGTAAGCAGTCACTCATCTGTAGCACTCTTTCGGTGCCTAACTGCCATGGCACCCGAAGGTTGCTGGGATACTGCCAAGTTGCCCAAGCCTAGACAGGGGAGGTCGATAGGCAGAGGTCGGGTTCGAACCACGGATCTTCCGGTCAGTAAATTCGCGCTCTAACCACTTGGGCCGTCTCATGAAGTAAGCAGAACAAAAAGTGGTTCTTGGCCACGCAGCGGATTCCATCTGCACTGATATGTGCCGCCTAACAAACACAGCGATCCAGGACGCAAGTAATGTACCTCGCTCACTTACATATTCCGGCTACGCACCTCTGGTGATGCTGAGGCCGGATATATGTCCAGCCATCAAGCGGACGCGTCTCTACTTGATTGGATAACTGTTAGTAGTCGCCTCTGCACTGTTCATTTCAAAAACATCGCTCAGCTGTAGCATCCTTTCGGTGCCTAACTGCCATACCGTCCGAAGGTTGCACGAGGGCTGGGATATTACCAGGTTGCCCAAGCCTAGACAATGGGAGTCAAGAGCCAGAGGTCTGGTTCAAAACACGGGCCTTCCGGTCAGTGAATTCGCGCTCCAACCAAGTGAGGTACCTCGCCGAAGGTGCGATGGACCTCACTTACTCGGGACTTTTTCGTAGACGTTGCTGTTCATTTAGCAGCAGTGCCGACCATCCGGGCCTGGTGTTGTCATGTTGGAGGGTCCATATCTCAAGCTGAACTTCTGTTGTTGATCGCGGGATGGTATCCATGCTCCATCCATCCAATGGTTGTGTTGAACTGCTCCTTGAAGTGTTCAACCCATCACACCAGACGACTTTGAATGAACATTCGTTCCGTCTTTTTCGCACATTGCTTCGCTGACACTTTTTTTACTGGTAAATTGAGTTGCCTGAAATAGGGTGTGGCTGCTGCCTTCATTTAGTCGAGTCAGAAGGCTTGGACAAACATCTACGAAGGTTGAGAGAGGTAGCCTATGCGGACAGATGTGAGGCGTCTTCAAGTTCTCGACCACCGATTTCTCAGAACAGCTGTTGGTGTCAGATGGCATCCACGAACTCGTGACAAAGTAATTAGAAAACTGGTGTTTGTATGTGCGGCGATTACCCCAGTCGCGGAAACGACCCACCATCGATCCATGGAGGCTCGGCTATGTGCTACGCCTGCCGAAACAGTTTATCTAAATCGATATCCATCTACCTATCGCTTCAAGTGCCTTCTTCAGAATGATACAACATGCCAGGTAGACGCATGGGTTAGCATGAGGGTGGAAGAGATTGTGAAGGGTTACGTTGTCGTTGGTCAGGGCCGCCTTCGAAAAATGAAGTGTCCGTGACTAATCGGCGATCGGCTGTAGACACTGTTAGACATGGCGGTCTATCGGTGTCTGGGGCGTTCGTATTGGCAATTCATTTCCATCATCATCATCATCACCATCGACAACATGACATCAGTGTTCAACACCGATGCTTCACTGCCGTACAATCATGACTTATTTGAAAGAAGAATAAAGGTGGATGAAGAACGGACTTAGTGCTAGCTTAACACAATCATTCAGAGGTGCCTACACCTCCAGACATTCACTCAGGCAATCTGGATAGAAACTGACAACAAGAACGCCACTGACATCGGTTGGCAGCCATATCTTGTAGTGTCTCCAACAAGGTACAGTGAGGATCACGTCGTCCCCACCCTGGAAAGCGAGTAGCACCGACAGCATCCAAGCGTTTCGTAATCTCCTTCATACCCCTCTGTCAAGTCAAGGGTTGGCCACATCTCTGTTTACGCCAATCTGAGTTGGGCATGGAAAACAACACTCTCTTCGGCAAACGGTGTGCATAGGGCACGTCCCAATCAACGCACCTTCTGGTGCTGGAGAGATTCTTCAATGGAAGTACCCGTTTAACAACCGAACACCCGCTTACTAATTGCCTTTTCACGGATACGCCGATACCAACCCACACGAGCTATGGTTCTGAGGCAGGGATTGTCGACCACCTGAAGACATCTCAGTTCC